AGCCACGCCCTCCCACTTTGTCTCCAGGCCAGGCCATCCCTCTAGGAGCCTAGCAGGAGAGTGGGAGGAGCTAGGCTTCTCCCTGCCTGGCTGCACTGTCACTCCAGGAAAGCCTGCTTGCCACCTCAGGGTGGCTCCCCTGGTCCTACACATCACTGTTCAAGGCCAGGTGTACATTTCCAGAAAGTTCCTGCCCACCCCCGCCCACAGCAGTTCTTCCTTCACTAACAAGCAAGGCGTTCTGGCTGTGATGCACACTTACTCCGGGAGCTGGTGTGTGCGTGTGTGTGTGTATAAGTGTATGTGTGTATGTGTGTGTGTGTGTGTGTCTGTGTGTGGCGGGGGTGGTCTCCATGCTGTCTTGTGGTCCCGCCCACCCCTCTCCAGTATCCTGGGAGTGCCCTGAGCCAGCACTGCAGCCAGCGATGAGCAGTAAGCAGACCCCATCCTGCTCTCGTGGAGCCGTGGTGCTGACGGGAGAGACAGATGTCACAAGATCACAGCCATGGAGGATGGCTGGTGGCTGTGATGTGAAAGGGAGGTGTGGCCGGGCACCTGTCAATGAGGTTCGGGGTGATCAGATCTCTGAGCAAGACCTGATGGGGTCCAGGTGTCAGGGTAGCCGCTTCCAGGTGAGGCGAGGGGAGGCTGTGACGTTTGTGTTGAGATTTGAAGGGGACCAGAAGCTCCCCAGAGGACCCGACTTGTGCAAAGGCCCAGAGGTGGAGGAAGCAAGATGTGTGTGGGCGGCAGAAAGGGGTTAGTGGTGACTGGGTTGCAAGGAACCAGAGAAAAACTCGCACAAGATGAAGCTAGAGACCTCACGGAAGGTCTTGGAATTTTTCCCAGGATCCCTGGAGGAGGAGGAGGGGGCAGAAGGGGAACAGCACGCGTGGACACTGGGCAAACTCTCCCCAGGCTGTGAGAACACTCCCCACGCAGCCGCTGAGCTGTAGGCAGGAGCTGGGCCACGCCCCTCGGCTCTGGGGACTGCGACTGCCCCACGAGGCAGAGGTGCCAGCCTCCACCTTGATTGGCAGTGGTTGGTGTCCTGTGAGTGCCACGTGACGCTCAGGTTGAATGTCGTGACTCCAGTGCCATCGCAGGACTGACTGATGCTTTTTAAAAAGCAGATGAGACTCTGAGAAAGGCAGCAGTAGCTGGTGTAATGCTGGCCACAGACAAAGGCAGAGAGCCCAGTAATCACGGATCCCCCCCTCCCCCTCCTCCACCTCCACCCCTGCCACTGTTATCACTACCCAGGGCAGAGAAGTGCCAGCTCCCAGTGTTCCTGCAATCCCTGTTGATCCCAATCACAAACAACTTAGCTGTGCTTGGCTGGTAAGGGGGGTCACACATTTCTGCAAAGAGCCCATTCCCCCGACGTGAAAACCGTGTACCCTCAGAGAGGTCCGAGGAGCTGGGGGCGGGGGCGGGGCTGAGGTGAGAGAGGAACTTGGGAGGTGGCGCCAGTCCTAGTCAGAGGGCACCTCACTGGGCCACAGGAGTCTGCTTGGTCACCTGCTTTCCCAGCGGGAACCCAAAGGCAGAGGAGGCAGGACCCGAGGGTAAGAGGGTAAGAGGGGGACCCTCTTCTCTGCTGAGACGATTCCCTGGCCTCAGTGTGTCCCTCCAAGGGAAGGCTGGCCTCTCTGAGGGTCATGGCAGCCGGCACCCTCCAGCATGGGATCTTATTATTCTCAGCCAATCAGAGTTAAGGTCATTTACTTAAAGCCCCAAAGGTCGGATGGGATCCGTCTCCAAGGGCTGGGGTGAGCTGTGGTTGATTCACGTGAAGCAAGCGCTCGGAGCCCCCGAGCAGCGCCTCAACAGGTTCTCGCTGAGGGAGAAGGGGTGCTCAGGCCAGATCGGGGTCCCGGTCTCCAACAACGCAACCACTCGCCGCACCTAGGGAACCTGAGACTATGGCAGAACATCCGCTGTGTGATGAGTGCCACGAGGGCTGTCAGAGCCGGGGATGGCGTGGAAGGAGGAAGCCTGGGGACAGGAGGGAGGAGCCCGGCGGGGAGAGGAGGAAGGGCACAGCAGGTGCAGGGGAGAGCCAGGGCGCAGATGCTGAGCAGAGAATGGGGCTGGCAGCAGGGGGCTGGCAGTGTGGCCGCAGCAGAGGGTGGGCAGAGGAACCAGGGAGCTGTCAGCTGGGGCCACGGGCTCAGCCTGTGTGTGGAAAAGAGACAACCAGAGGAGGGCGCAGAGCTGAGGAGAGCGGGGCCAGGGCACCTGGGAAGGGTCCCTCTGGCTGTGGTCACACAAGAAACGCTGACAGAAGGCAGCAGGTGGAGAAGGGCCCAGGGCACGCTTCAGAGTCACCTTCATGGCCCTCACCCTTCTGCAAGGCGGGGAGGTGCTGGCAGCTCTGGACTCTGACGGCCGGAACGGGCGCTCCTGCCCAGCACCTCCGCCCACGCTGCGGTCCTGTGCAGGAAGGGGAGAGCCTGGTCCCCAGGGGGCACCAGGGAGCCAGAGAAAGGGTTGTCCATGCAGGAAATGTGCTTGGCCTGTGCACGTGTGTTCAAGGGTATACAGGTGTGTGTACGTTTACGTACAGGTGCGTGTGTGTGCAGACACACAGCTGTGTTTGGGCATGTGCACGAATGCAGCTACATATATGTGCTCCTTCTCATACTTACAGTCAGGTCTCGCTCTGCCACCACAACTCCATGTCTGTGACCACTCTGTGTGCGACACTGGCCTCCCACATCTGCACGGGTTACACTGCTGTCCCTCCCTGCTCCCCAATAGCCAGGGCCTGTGTTCTTCATCCCCTGGGCTCACCAGACCAGAGTCCTCTTCCCCACGACTGCCTGCAGTCTACCAGCCTGGGAAGCCCATTCAAGGGATGGGATGGTAAGTGAGGCACAAAGCAGCCAACGTGATTTTCCCCCCACCCTACTCCAAGGCCATGGCACCAAGTTCACGTCCATGTCACTTGCTGCCATGGGCCCCTCCTGCACCTGCAGCAGCTACCGCTCATCAGTCACACTACTCTTGCCCCCTGACCCAGCATCGTCCTTAACTCAACGCTCCAGGCAGCACTAATGATTAACTGGCATGAGTACGTGAGATGGCAGATCAGGTATCCCTGAGAACACGCCTATGACTGTTCTTTGAGGCTTAGACAGTGTCCTACACAGGAACAAGGGCACCGTGGTGACAATGGTGTCCTGCTGATTGAGTCTCACTAATCTCAAAGTTTTGGCTCCTGGCGGGATCCCACCCTGTCCATCCCTTGCACCCCACATTTGCTGGTCCTATCAGTGGTGACAGCCAGGCAGAGGCTTGCTTGAACATAGGCTGGCAAAGGCCGTGGGGAGGACGCAGTCACAGAGTCCTGGTTCTGACGCTGCCCCTGAATGCAGGGCACCCCTGGACACACCTCTGGACTGCTCTGGTGCTGGGTCAAGTGCTTCTGCCGCGTGTAGGTGGTGCCGGCCCATTCCTTCCAGGTCCCGTGAGGGTAGATGGTGGCAGGTGTTAGGATGGCCGTCTTAGTGCATTTTCTGTTGTTGTAACAGAATGCACGAGACTGAGTGCTTTATGAAGAATGGGGTTTATGTAGTTCATGACTCTGGAGTCCACGAGCACGGTGCTGGGATCTGGTCGGCCAGACTGGAGTGTGTGCGAGAGTGGCCAGTAGGGGCCTGTGCAGAAGAGGTGAAACATTGGCTGTAACTTTGCCTTACTGGCCACTTTGCAGAATCAGTCCAGGGAAACCCAGCTCCCTCCCTAAAGAGATGATCCAGTCTTTAAAAAAAAAAAAATTTATTTGAAAGGCAGAGTTATAGAGGCAGAGAGAGAGAGAGAGAGAGGGAGAAAGTCCTCCAGCCACTGGTTTACTCCCCAACTGGCCGCAATGGCCAGAGCTGGGCTGATCCCAAGCCAGGATCCAGGAGTTTCTTCCAGGTCTCCCACACGGGTGCAGAGAGTCCCAAGGACCTGAACCATCCTCTACTGCTTTGTCAGGCCATCGCAGAGAGCTGGATCAGAAGTGGAGCACCTGGGACTCAAACCAGTGCACATATAGGATGTCGGCACCGCAGGCAGCAGCTCTACCACCACATCACAGTGCCAGCCCCTGATCCAGTCTTGACAGGCCTGACCCTGCCTCTCCAGAGAGACATCACTCCATTCCTGAGGGTGCAGCCCCCATGACCTACAGATCTCTCAAAGTCCCCTCCTAACACCCTGACAGTGGGAATTGAACTTGAACGTGAGTTCTAGTGGGGACCAGCCACATCCAGACAACAGGGCCACAGAGGTGTGAGCTGTTATCTCTTGTGATTTCCCCAAAGGGCAAAGCGTTTGGCTCAGCGCAGGATTCCATCTGGAAGAATCGGTTGACATGTGACTTAGCCACACAGGGACGACTCTTGGGGCCAGGGCTGTTTGGGACTTCTCTCTGCTTCACCCGTAGCTGCCCAGCTAAGTGGCAGTCCCTGCTAAAGCCAGACAGAGCCTTGCACACAGGCGCAGAAGGATGTGGCCAGGTAGCCACAAGGACCCCGGGCTTGGGCAGGAGGTGGGAGCCCAGTACCCTGATTCCTTAGTAGGCAGAGACGAAAGAAGGGAGGAAGAGGGAGAGAAAGGAGAGAGGAGGGGAAGAGGGGGGAAGAAGAAACAACAGAAGCTGGGGGACGCAGGACTGGAGGAAGGAGTGAGGAGTGGGGGAAGGGAGCCTTCTGCTTCCATGAGACCAGGACTCTCCAGGACAGACAGAAACCTGCTCTTCCTAGGACTAGCTTTTGTGCCTCCCCCATCAGTTTATGGGGAGGGTCTGGGCCTCTCCCATCTGACTGGGGGTTCGCTCAAGCAGAAACCATGTGAACCACATTATGCGGGGGCTTCTCAGATCCAGGGGAAGCTACCGTCCCCATGGCTGAGGCCCTCTGGGGCGGGTCACCTGCGGCAGGCCCTCGCACAGCCCGGGGGCCTGTACCTCCCCAGCCTGACACCCCGCTTCCCCTCTGCTCCCACTCCAGGGTTCACAGACACCTTCAACGTGGACACCAGGAAGCCCCGGGTCATCGCGGGCTCCAGGAGCGCCTTCTTCGGCTACACGGTGCAGCAGCACGACATCGGGGGCCAGAAGTGGTGAGTGAGACCCGCGCACCGGGCCCAGCGGCTGGCGACCCCCATTCCCAGCAGACTGGACTGTACCCCAGCCGGTCACAGGCTGAGGCAGACCCCGCCCCGGCCGTGCAAGCTGAGCGCTTGGTTTCTCAGGCCCTGTGTCTTCTCGTCTGTGAACTGGGAATGAGCTGGGACAGCACAGGTGTCGGGCAGCCCCTTCCTGTGGCCCTCAGGGACTCGGTGTCTCATCAACAGGGGACAGCACCTCTGCTCCCGTCCACTGGGGTGCCCCTGAGAGTTGGATGTTGCAGCACAGCAAGCCTGGGGCAAAGGCAGTGAGAGCGAGGCCGGGGGAGAGGGAGGGGCGCAGAAAGTCCCCAGGACCCCTCCAGGCCAGGAGCAACCAAGAGGAGGCAATGACTCACCTCCCAGTTTTAAAATAACTGAATCACAGCAGGCTTTATCGTATGATCTGCTATTCCAAGAATGCAAATGAACAAGGTATGCACACGACAGCCACGACTCATCTTTAGATGATGGGATCACCCGTGATCCCACACAGGATCCTCATGGGCCCCACTGCCCCTGCCCCTTCCAGGGTGGCTGGGGCCAGGCCTCTGCTGGACCCTCTGAGAAGGCCTTGGGGACTAATCTATCCCGGGAGACCGCAGTAACAGTGGCCATCAGTGTCCTAAGCCGCCTCCCCCCCACCCTGTCTGCTGCTCCCCACCCTTCCCGCCCTCTGCCCTGGTCCTTGTGCTCCGCCCTCCAGCCACGCTTGCACCTGGCCAGTTGCCCAGCTCTCCAGGCCTTCTCGGCACGTGCCCCTGCCTCCTGCTGCCTCCCCCGCTCCCCCACTCCCTCACCCCACTCCCCACCACCCCAATCTGCACAATTCTCTCCTGGTCTTCCTTCTTTCCTTCCCTCCTACTTTTTTGGAAAGGGGTATCTTATTATCTTTCTATGAAAGGATGACTTACATGGAATAAAGTACCTTGCGGGCACAGCTCAGTGGATTGCGCCTGTGTGCCCACACACGTGTTCAGAAGGCTTCCAGCTTCCAGAAGGCTCCGCCGAGCCCCCTCCCCTTTAGTGCCCCTCCAGGGAAGCACTGCTCCAACCCCTATGGCCATAGGTCAGTTTTGCCAGTTTGGGACTTCACATCGATGAACGGCTCATTTATATCTGACCCCTTTTACTCAGCACCAATCCATAAGGATGTTTCACGGATGTGTAGCATCCTCTTGAATGAATGTATCACTGTTTATTTATTCTACTACTGATGGATACTTGGATTGTTCCCGTTTGGCTATTTCGAATGAAGCCACTACTAACATTTTGTAAATATCTTTTGTCGGACACATGGACTCCTTTTTACTGGATATATACCCAGGAGTAGGGTTGCTGAGTTCAAGGGTAGGTACGTGTTTAACTTTAGGAGGATCTGCCAAGCATTTTTCCGGGGTGGTTTACCATTTTACCACTCTCCCAAGTAACATAAGAGAGTTCTTGCTGTTCTACTCCTCACTAACACGCGCATTACCAGCCATTTCGGCTGTGGGCATTCCAGGGGTGCGCAGTAGCAGCTCGTCATGGGTTTAATTTGCATTTCTGCACTACTGATGCTGAGGAACTCCTCATAAATGTATTGGCCATTTTGATGCTTCCTTTTGTGAAGAGTCTGACTGAGTCTTTTGTCCATTTTTAAATTGCATTATGTATCTTTGAAAATTGATTTATAGGACTTTAAAAATATATCCTGTGTGCAAACCTTTGTTCAGACAGGGGCGTTGTAGAGGTTATTTCTGACTCTGCGGCTTGCCTTTTCTTTCTCTGAGCATCTTTCAATGAAGCGAAGTTCCTGACTTTGATAAAGGCTGCTTTATCCATCTCCTTCTGGTTTTTGTGGGTCTCATTAAGAAATCTTTGCCTCTCCCCAAATTGTACTTCTAGGTGTTAGATGTTCTTCTTTCTTATTTAGGTCAGTGATTCATGAAAAATTAATTTTTGCATAACGTGTACAATAACGGTCAAATTCTTTTTTTTTTTCCCCAACATGGAAACCCGACTGATCTGGCACCATTTGTTAAAAGCTTCTTCCCTCCACTGAATTCTGGGGTCATCTTTGTCAAACATCCATTGGTCTACTCTATTCCGTTTGTCTATTTTTTCTAAATTTGCACCAACAAAAAGCTGTTTGGGTTATGACAGCTTTATAGCAAGTCTTCAAGCCAGGTGCTGTGACGTCCCCAGGTTGGTTTTTTATTGACAAGGCTGTTTTGGTGGCACTAGGCTCAAATATGAATTTGAGAGCCAGCTTGACAACTTTCCCCCAATAAAATGCATTGAAATTTTGATTGATGTTGCACTGAGTTTTAGCATAGGTGTGGAGAAATGACGTCTTAATAGCACATGGTCAGCTCATGAATATGCATATCCTTTCATTTATTCAGCTTTTCAAAATTTCTGTCCATGATGCTTTAAAATTTTCAATGTAAAAGTCTTGCATAGCTTTTTTTTTTTTTTTTTTTTTTTTTTGACAGGCAGAGTTAGACAGTGAGAGAGAGAGAAACAGAGAGAAAGGTCTTCCTTTTGCCGTTGGTTCACCCTCCAATGGCCGCCGCGGTCGGCGCGCTGCGGCCGGCGCACCGCGCTGATCCGATGGCAGGAGCCAGGAGCCAGGTGCTTTTCCTGGTCTCCCATGGGGTGCAGGGCCCAAGCACCTGGGCCATCCTCCACTGCACTCCCTGGCCACAGCAGAGAGCTGGCCTGGAAGAGGAGCAACCGGGACAGAATCCGGCGCCCCAACCAGGACTAGAACCCGGGGTGCCAGCACCGCACACGGAGGATTAGCCTAGTGAGCCATGGTGCCGGCCAGTTACCATTTCTAATAGCTTGTTTGTAGATATTTTGGACTATCTATTGCATGATCAGATCATCTGAAATAATTACAGTGTTCTTTTTGCTCTCCTAATCTTCCTGCCCTTATTTATTTTTCTTTCCTAATTGCACTGGCTAAAACTTTTGGTGTAAGGTTTAATACAAGTGTTGATACTGAATATTCTTTCTTATTTCCATCATCAAAGGGAAAACTTCCAATATGGCAAAATTAAATAAGATGTTAACTGTAGTCTATTCATTTGTTTGTTTTAGATACTTTCAGATTAAAGCAATTTTCTGCTATTTCTAGTTTTCTGAGGTTTTCTTCTTTAATTGTGAACAGGATTGAATTTTATCAGATGCTTTTTCTGCAACAATTGAGATGATTATATGGTTCCTATTTATCCTGTTAATGTGGTTAATTTCATGGATGGATGGATGAATGCTTTTGGTATGAAACCAAACTTGCATTCCTGGGCTAAAGCTCACTTGGTCACCATGTATTCTCAGGAATTTTGTTTCTATGAGATATTTGTTTCTATTTTTTACTTTATGAGTTGTGTTGGCCTATAAATTTTTTTTTTTGTAATATCCTTTTTGGGTTTTGGTATTACAGTTAATCAGATCTCATAGAATATGTTGTAGACAGGCATTTGTTGCAGTGGTTAAAATGTTGCCCGGGACACCTACAGCCCATCTCGAGTGCCTGGGTCCTAGTGCCAGCTCTGCTTCCAACTGCAGCTCCTGCTGATGCACAGCCCAGGAGGCAGCAGGGGGCGGCTCACGCACTTGGGGCCCTGCTCTCCAGGCTGGGACCCAGACGGAGTTCCTGGCTCTTGACTTTGGCCTGGCTCAGCCCTCGCTGTTTTGGGCATTTGTGGGATGAAGCAGTGGATGGAAGATTTCTCTGTTTCTCTGCCTCCCTCCCTCTCTCTCCTTCTCTTTCTCTCTCTGTGCGTGTGTGTCTGCCTTTCAAATAAAACTAAAATTATTTTTTAAAGTAACATTTTGAAAAGTGCTCTTTTTCTATTATTTAGTATAATGTGAGATTTGTATTGTTTCTGTAAATATTTAGAAAAGCCGACCAGTACAGCATCTGGATTTTCCTCATGGGTTCCTGTTGCTTCTTGGGTTAAGTTTAGTAAATTGTATTTTGCAACTAATTTGTCCATTTTCAAATTTTGTTAACACATTATTATTCATGTTAGCCTCCCATTATCTTTTCAGTGTCTATGAGATCTTTTTCATTTCTCCTACTGGTAGTTTGTCTTTCTTGTTCTTGATCAGGATTGCTAAAGGTGTATGGATTTTAGTAATGTTTTCAAGGCTCAGCTTTGGACTATTTGCTTTCTCTATTGAACCTCTGTTTTCTCTTTCTTCGGTTCCTACTCTTATTTCCTATTCCTATTTCTTTCCTCCTATTTTGGGGATTTAATTTGTTTTTTTTTTTTTTCTAAATTTGTATTAAATTGTTGATTATCTAATCTTTTTGTTTCTAATATATACATGGAAGGCTATAAACTTCCTCTGAATATTCCCTTAGCTACATCCCACAAATTTTGATGTGTTCATTATCAATCACAGTTCAAAAATTCTAATTTTTGTTGTGATTTTTTTGTGTGTATGGGCTATTTAGAAATGTGTTAGTTTTCACATGTTTGAAGAGTCTCTAGTTATCACTCTTTTCCAGTTCTAATTTAATTCCACAGAAGTCACAAGAGACACTGTATAATTTGAATTCTTTGACATTATTTTCTTTAAGACTGAGGACATCACCTATTTTAGTAAATTCCCAGCACACTTGAAAAGACTGTGCATCTATAATTTATTAAATATATGTAATATATAAATTATATGTAGAAATTTTCTATTTGATTGGGTTGTTCAAATCATTTACATTCTCACTGATTTCTTTTTTTTTTTTTTTTTGGTATTAAAATTTCCAGCTATCTGGAAATTTGCTTCCCTCTCCTTTTAGTTCTGTCAGTTTTTTATATTTGAAGCTATGTTAATTAGACAATATGTAAATGTTAGACTGTGATCCATCCTATTAAATTGATCCTTCTTTATCTTTAATAATGTTTCTTGCCTTAAAGTCTAATTTCTCTGATATTAGTATTGGCATACCCACTGTCTTTTTTGTCAATTTGGGGGGGTTCTCTTTTTCCATAATTTCATTTTCAATTTTTCTGTGTCCTTGTATTTAAAGCATGTCTCCTGTAAACAGTCTTGCTATTTTTAATCCAGTCTGACAATCCTTGCCTTTTAACTGGCTCATTATATTCAGTGTAATAACTGAGAAAGAGTTGGGTTGAATTCTGTCATCTTGCCATGGATATTACAATTGCTTCATCTATTTTTGTTCCTATTATTTCTCTTCTTTGAACGTCTTTTGATAAGTATTTTGAATATTTGTCTTTGCTGCCTCTAGTCTTTAGCTTACCTTCTTTTCTTACTCTTAGCATTCACCCTAGAAATTGCAGTATGCATCCTTGATTTACTACAGTCCACTTTAAATTAGTACTTTTGCCATTTCCTACATAACACTAGAACTTTGTAACAGTCTGGTTCCAGTTGCCTGTTCCAGCCTTTCTCTCAGTTTTGTCATCTATTTTACCTTTGCGTGTGTTGTTAACTTCCACAAGACATCACTGTTGTTGTTGCTTTAAACTATCAATACTTACGTCAGCTCACCCAAAGAATTACCTTTTCTGGTGGCCTTCGTTTTTTCCCATACAGATCTTTTGTGCTTTAATTCAAGACTATTTTCGTTTAGCCAAAGATGTCTGCTTAGTATTTCTTTTAATGCAGATATTCTTATAATGATTCTTTCAGCATTGGGAATTGTGGTGTTTTGGGGTTTTTTTTGTTTGTTGGTTTATTTGTTTGAATAAATATTTTTCTCACCTTAATTTTTAAAAATATTTTATTTATTTATTTGAGAGGTAGAGTTATAATCAGAGAGAGACAGAGAGAGAAACAGAGAGAAAGGTCTTCCATCTGCTGGTTCACTCCCCAGTGGCTACAATGGCCAGAGCTGGGCTGATCCAAAGCCAGGAGCCAGGAGCCTCTTCCAGTTTCCCACATGATTACAGAGGCCCAAGGACTTGAGCCATCTTCTGCTGCTTTCGCAGGCCCTAGCAGAGAGCTGGACTGGAAGTGGAGCAGCCGGGACACAAACCGGTGCCCATACAAGATACTGGCAGAGGCTTAGCCCTCTACACCACAGCATCAGCCCCTCACCTTAATTTTTGAGGATTATCTTATGTAGGTATAAAATACTTGACTGGCAGTTGTGTGTGTGTGTGTGTGTGTTTCACTTTAAAATGTCATTCTGTTGTCTTCTGGTTTTCTAGTTTCTCTTGAGATGTCAACCTGTAGTTTTATCATTATTCTCTTTTATTTTTATTTACTGATTGATTTTATTTAAGAGGCAGAGAGAGACAAGCAGACATTTCCCTGGTGTCCAGGAGCCAGGAACTCAGTCCAGGTCACCCACATGGATGGCAGAGACCCAGCTCTTTGAGCCATCACTTGCTGCCTTCCACAGTGTACATTGGCAGAACCAGGACAAAAACCCAGGCACTCCAGCATGGCACAAGGGTATCCCAAGTGGCACCTTAACTACTGAACCAAAGAGCTGCCCCTTATTATTCTTTTGAACATTGTTTTCCCATGCTTGGTTTCCTGCTTGTCTTTGGTGTGAGCAGTTTGACTGTGATGTAGCTAAGTGTAGTTTTGTTTATATTTGTTCTGCATGGGGTCTCCTAAGCTTCTTGTATCTATAGTTGACATCTTCCAACAGATTTGGGAGATTATTTACCTTCACCACTGAGAGTACAGTTTCTGTCTCATTTATACTCTCCTTGTCTTCTCCGGCTCCAATTGAGTGTGTGTTACACCTTCTTGTCATATTCTTCATAACCCTGTGTGGGTTTTTTATTCCATTTTTCTCTGTGTGTGCTTGAAATTAGGTATCTTTTATTGATATTTCTTAAAGCTCACTAATACTGTTTTTGTTGCATCCAGTGTGCAGCTAAACTCATCCAATACACTATTACAGAATTTTATGTTTTAGTCCCTATATGTCCTTTTGATTCTTTTGTATAGCTTCTAATTCTGTCAGAATCATCTCTATCCCCTTCCTCCATCTTTTATCATATTTTTATTTATTGTATTTTTTAAAGATTTATTTATTTTTTATTTAAGAGTCAGAGTTACACAGAGGGAGGAGAAGCAGGGGAGGGGGTCTTCCATCCGATGGTTCACTCCCCAGTTGGCCTCAACAGCCAGAACTGTGCCAATCGAAACCAGGAGCCAGGAGATTCCTCCAGGTCTCCTTCATGGGTGCAGGGGCCCAAAGACTTAGTCCATCTTCTACTGCTTTCCCAGGCCATAGCAGAGAGCTGGATTGGAAGTGGGGCAGCAGGGACCAGAACTGGAGCCCATATGGGATGCCGGCGCTTCAGGCCAGGGTGTTACCCCACTGAGCCACAGCACCAACCCCATATTTTTAATGTATTAATCATACTTATTTTGAAGTCCTAGTTGGTTCACTCAAATATTGGGAACATCTTTGGTCTGCTTCTAGTGACTATTTTATCTCTTGGTTATCAGCCATTTTTTTCCTAATTCTTTTCTTGTACAGTAACTTTTTATTCTATGTTAAATATTGTGGATGATACATTATAGAGGCTATGGATCATCTTACCATTCATTAAAAAACACTACATTCTGCTCTGTCTAGCAGTTAAGTAAACTCATGGAGACCTTAGCACTTGGTTTGGGTCTTGGTTAGTGCAGGTCTAACCTGGTCTTGCCCTTACTCCTGCCATATGGTTTTTGCTTTTGGAGTATAGAGTTTCCCCAGTCTCAGATCAAAGCCCAGGGCATTCATAAGATCTCCCCATTAGAGCAGCTATTTCCAACCACATTTCCCAGAGTCAGCCAAGGACCTAGGGAGGCTTTCAACAAAAGTTGGGGAGCTCTTGCCAAGGCTTTCTCCTTGCTGGTGCCCTGTCCCTCCCAGAGCTGTAGTCCTGGCAGCCCCGCTTCCAGTCTTCCCTCCATCCAGGGAGACTGTGCTGTTGGGGTGCACTCCCCTTCCCTGGGCTGCAGGAAAGAAAACGCCTGCACAGGGAAGGCAGGGCTGGCTGTGGGTTCTGCCCCACACTTCCTCTCTCTCTCAAGTGTCCTGCTTTGTTTTCATTGTGGTCCAGTGCCCGGAAACAGCTCTTTCATGCATTCTGTCTGGCTTTCAAGGCTGTTCACAGCTGGAACGGAAAGTCCTGTTCATATTCTTTATTTTTCAGCTATTATAGGATCTAATTTTTTAACTTTTTTTAAAATTTATTTGAAAGAGTGACAGGAGAGGGGAGAGACACAGAGAAAGGGAGATCCTCCATCCACTGATTCACACCCCAAATGCCCACAAACAGCCAAATGTCCACAAACAGCCAGGAACCTGGAACTCCATCCTGGTCTCCCACGAGAGCGGCAGGGGCCCAAGTACTTGGGCCACTTTCTGGTGTCTTCCCAGGAACATCGGCAGGGTGTTGGATCAGAACCAGAGCAGCCGGGACTGGAAGCTGTGCTCTGATGTGGGAGGCCAGTGTCACAGGTGGTGGCTGGCCAGCCCCTTCTTTCATGTTCTTTTCTCACCTTAGGTACCACTTCCCCTGGGAAACCTTCTCTAACCATCCCTTCCCATAGGGGGATTAGCCACCCCCATAATAGTCTATATTTCCCTTCTCCTGGCATTTCTCAAACTGAATAGTCATTGCCTATTTCACTGTCTCTCTTCCTGAAATCAAGGCTGTAATCCCCGGCATTTAGCAGGGGTTCTAGGAGCCTGTTCAGAGAGACTAAACTCATGGCTTAAATCTCTAGCCCAGAGGTAAGACGAGGAACACCCACATTCTTGACATGCTGGGAAGGCTTGGAGGTGAAGCCGCACTGACTTTTCCCAGATAGAAGTTATTCTGACTGATCTTTGTTTACTAAGCATCTGCTGGATTTTACCGGATTCTGAGTAAAATGTGGTTGCACTCTCAAATAACTCACAGGCCAGCTGAGGCGGCAACACGAACATCCTTGGAATAATTGAAAACCCATTCACAACAAAATACACACTGCTGTTAATGACATTCATCTTGGCAAGGCCACTTTCTCCATGAAGGCGTTCTAGATCATTCTCTTGGCCTAAAATGACCTTCCCTTTCTGGGCCTCCTCTCTGATGGCACACGTCACTCCTTGTCTTGTGCTGGAGCCACATGGGCCAGGGCCCATCTCCCCCACGGGACCCGGCTTCATCCCCTGCGGCCTGAGAGCAGCCAGCACACCGTCCCGCTCACAGCAGGATTTTCTTGTCCGGGCCTGCCTGGGGTCTCTGGAGGGCTGCAAGGGAGACAGGCATTGGAACGGGGTCTGAGGTTGGACCCAGGTGTGCAGACAGAGGTGACAGAACTGACTCCCAGTCGCTGGCTGATGAGAACAGCAGGAGCATCCTGGGAGGAGCTGGTCCCCCAGGCAGGTAGGGTTCGTCCATTGCAGCCACCAGCCCTGAGTTGAGTAAAACAGAGACAGCAGCTTGGGGGACACAGGCAGCCGAGCCGCAGGTAGAGGCATGGGAGCACACTGGGCCTTTTGTGCGTGAACCCCACGGCATAGCTTACGTGGCTGCCTCCCCCAGCCCCTACCTTCCCTCTCCTAAAGGCAGCACCCCAAGCTTCTTTATCCTGACAAAGAACCCTGTACGTGTTGGTCATAGGAAAAGAGAGGCTGAAGCCAGCATCACTGGGGGGTGGGGGGTGGGTCAAGGTTGACCGTGATGAGCGACCCCAGAGGGGCGGGGTCTTGAGCCCCTCATAGGAGGCCAAGAGCCAAGGTTGGAGGTGCAGAGCCTCGGCCCCTTGGCGGGAGACCTTGTGAGAAGCCATCTCAAGCCTCCCGATCTTCTATCTGCTCCTGTGTCAAGTGGGAGTGGGCATACCTGCCTTGGGTGCCGAGCAAGATCCAAAAGGTGTAGGTATTTTGTGATCAGCAAAGCAGAGATGAGTCGCTCGTAGCCTATGGGCAGCTCAAATGGAAGTCAAGCCACTGGCCACCTGGTTACGTGGAGGCCACTGACCCAGGCTCTTACTGCCTCCTAGACGTACACCTGGCTTCCAGCCCTTAAGGCGGAGCTGATCTGCACCTCCTGAGCCTGCAGTGGGGCCAGGAAATCTGTGCTTCTAGAAACACTTCCAGGGGCCGGCGGGAGGCACAGTGAGTTCAGCTGCCTCCTGCCACAGGGCCCCTGCTACCCACATGGGAGACCCAGATGAAACTCCTGGCTCCTGACTACATCCCACCCCAGCCCTGGCTGTTGCAGCCACTCAGGGAGAGAATCAGCAGATGGAAGATTCTCTCTCTCTCTCTCTCTCTCTCTCCTTCTCTCTCTGTAACTCTGTCTTTCAAATAAATAAAGGAAGGAAGGAAGGAAAGAAAAAGCAAAGCAAAGCTCCCAGCTGACTCTGGCACAGGGCTGGGGTTAAAGGTTAAAGTCTCCACCATTCCCCCAGAGAGCATAGGACTGGGAGAGACCAGCAAGGCAAAGCATCACTCGCCAGCGCCCGCCCCCCAAGACCTGCTCTCAGCATTGCCCCAGGCAAGATCCCACCTGCCATCTCCCTCCCACCGCAGGTGCCAGGCTGAGAGCTTGCCTGAGTGCCAAGGGCACAGGACGCGGAGCACACAGCTGGAGGGTGAGCGGACAGCAGCCTCTGCCCTCCGCACCCCCAATGCCCAACCCCAGCCAGGGGGAGGCCACCTGCGCACGGGCTCCAGGCAGCTGGAAGAGGTTCCCACCTGCTTTGGTTTAGCAACAATAACAACACGCACAGACCCACCAAACAGAAGGAGAAAACAGACTCCTCTCGGCCTGAGGCTTCTCTGCCCCTGGTTTTAAGCCCTTGCGTATTTTCAGAGAAATCTGATCCATATGGCTCCGCTGCATTGACATGGAAGTCATTAAGTCAGCTGGTTTTTAGAACCCTTGGCCGTGCCAGGGGCTGGGCACGGGGAAGCGAAGGGCCTTACTGAGCCCGGAGCCTCCTGGTGCTGCTGAGACCACACAGCAGAGCCCTCCCAGGCTTCCAGGCCTCTCAGCCCTGCAGAGAGAAGGCCGCTCCCTCTACCAGAACGCTGGCGAGCAGGTGCCTCGTAGCTCCCCAGTGCGCTCCAAAGGGGGCCGTCTTTAGGACTCTGCAGCCTGTATTTTATTTCTGATTAATTTATTGACTTGAAAGGCAGAGTGACGGGCAGAGAGACACACAGAGAGAGATCTTCCATTTGCTGGTTCCTTCCCCAAATGTCCACACAGCCAGGGCTGGGCCAGCCCCGAGCCAGGAGTCAAGAGCTTTATCTGGGTCTCCCACACAGGTGGCAGGGACCCAAACACTTGGGCCAACACAGCCGCCTCCCAGGTGCATTAGCAAGGAGCTGCACTGGAAGTAGAGGAGCTAGGGCTTGAACTAGGCACTCTGATACGGCACGTGGGGGCCCCAAGCGGCTGCTTAGCCTGCTGCAGGCTTTATGGGCAGGAGGCCAAGGGGAACCCCTGGGAACATGTCTAGGGCCATAAGCAGCTTGCATGGGAAGTAGGCACACGTGTGCGCGTACACACAGACCACACACAAATTTTACAGGTGCAACAACTCAGAGTCCAAGAGATGACACAATCAGTGTCAGCGTTGGGCCTGGAGCCCAGAGCTGCCTGTTCCCCGCTGACTCGGGGCAGGGGCCTGGTTCAGCCCAAAAAGAGACCTGGATCAGAAGCAGCTCCCTCCCACGACTGGCCGGGACCCGCGGTCCGCTGGTGTCCAGTGGCCCAGCACTAAGCAGAGCCCCAAGGCCCAGGAAGATGGAGTGAGCCCAAGAGAGGGACCCCCATGGGACCTCGGGAATTCAGCCGAGGGGGAGCGCATTTCCAACCCAGCAGGAGAGGGCGGCAGAGGGAGGGCAGAGGGTGGCAAAGGGGCCGGCATGGGCGCGACAGGCAGGCTGCTGGGCAGAAGAGTGATCGGCAGGAGCTGTCCTGCGAAGGATGGTAGCGAGGGGGGAGCTTCTGTAGGGAGGAGGCGGGGGGCGTGGCCAAGCTAAGGGGTGGGGGGTTGGAGGGGTGCTGCTTGATCAGCATCGGTACTTCTTGAGATTTCAAGGACGAACGAAATTGCAAAGTGCCTACCCTATGGAGCTCTGCTTCCGGTGCGCACGAGGCATTATCGGTCCGTCCATCGCCTGTTGGGAAGTGGTAGGTACAGCTGTGAAGCTGTGGACTTGGGGACGGTGACTGGGGCGGGCGCGCCGCCGTGTCCGGAGGGCAGAGGTTGGCAGGCGCGTGCTCGCGCGAGGCGGGTCCGAGGCCTCAAGGGAGTCGGGGCACGCGGCGGGCGTGGTGCACAAGGCCCCGCTTCTCCCCGCCCACCGCGGGTACCGGAAGCCGCAGGCCCCGCCCCTCTGCGGCTCTGGGCGGGGCCTGGGCAGCACAAGGCCCAAGGGGTGCCCGTGCCCCGGGCTTTCTATCCGAGGTCCAGGGGCGGCACTAGGGCGCCCCGCAAGTGCGGAGACCAGCCGGACGCCCCTCCGCGCCCTCCCGTGCACTCTGCTCCTCCGCCGCCTGCGGCCTGGTCTCTTGGTTCCGCACCCTGCTCCTGACCTGAGTTCTAATCCGGACACAGCATCGATCCCTTCATATGGTTTCGTGAACCTTCTTTCCGGACTCCCTGGGGGCTCCCGTGCCTCAGACCCTTCGGGCTGACGGGAAAGGTGGTCCCTGTAACTGCAGGATTCAGGTCCCGCTCCCGCCCCTCCCAGCCCTCGCTGGCGGCCGTGTTCTGTGCTTCCAGGGGTCTCTGGGCTGAGCAGGCAAGTGAGGGCGCACCTGAGCGACTTCTCACCGCAGGGCAAGTTTAGGTTTCCCAGCTCAGCCTCCTCCCGAGCCGCCTAAGCACGTATGCCTCTGCTCTCCGGCCGACAGTTTCCACATCTGTGAAATGGGCGTGCTGATGCCAACCCCAGAGGGTTCTTACGAGGATGATGTAGATGGGGTCCCTCCTGGGGTAGGTGCGGGAGGAGCTGGCCTGCTCCCTTCCGGGGTCCAGGGAGAAGTCTCAAGGAAAAGCCCACCCCATCTCCCCACCCCCGCACCGACCTGGTGTTTGGACAGAAGGCTGGATCTTGTCTGAGTCCGTCCCTCTTCCTCGGTGCCAGGGCCAGTGCTCAGGCCTCGGGCAGTTTGGCCCTTGGCCGCTGGGGAACTCCCTGCGGAACAACTGCCTGAGTTCTTTCCCTGGCCCCAGCTCCCAATGCCACAGCACAGACACACAGACAGGCCTTCCGCTGCTTTCTGTCGGAACAAATAAAATCCACACCATGACTCATTCTGGTTAAAGAAGAAGTCGCTACAGAAGCAAAGCCTGAGGTAGGATGAAACCACCCAATGCATGAGAGAGAGAGATTGTCTTGGGGGAAACGTTGGCCCGGGGCCCTGAGCCAAGCCACCCAGGAGATCCTGGCAGACACACGGAGAAGAACAGGAGTTGCAAAGGCCCCGGGAGTAGCCATGCAGACAGCCGTCCTCACTGGATGGAGCTGGGGGCACCTGCAGGCCGGGAGAGCCTGGATGAACACAGGCCCAGCACACAAGAGCTGAGCCAGCGTGTGCAGCTAAGACCCAGCCTGTGGTGGGCTCCCTGCTGCCCTGCTGTTCTTCTGCCCTTGCTTTCACAAGAAAAAAAAAAGGGGGGGGGTAACGCAACCTGGGAAATCCCCGGGACTCGAGTGTTGCAGGGAGGGCCCGGGACTGGCCCGCGCACCAGCTGATCAGCCAGGCATGGAGCTAAGCCCAGTGCTGGCAGCCCTGTAACCGCCACCGCGGGCTGTAGGGGCAAGAGGCGCAATGTCAGAGGCGGAAACACTGGAAAGAACGGCTCCGGTGACTCACCTCCAAGGGCAGAAGTGAAGTGGATGTGGGCGCTTGGGGGAGCCAGGGGAATTGGCCCAGTCAGCACCTTCCCTCCCCAGCCCTGCCCTGCAGCGGAGAATCTCTCTCCCCCTCCCCCTTCCTCCCTCCCTCCCCCCTCCCTTCCTCCCTCCCTCCCTCCGTCTCTGTAACTCTGCCTTTCGAAAAACTAAAATAAATCTTGAACGAAACAGGAATGAAGTGGGAAAAGCCATGAGAGAAGGGAGAAGGTGAGGTGGGAGATACACAGCCGACCAGGAGGGGAGGCGGGTGGCACCTGTGCGTCTCCGGTGCGTGGAGCAGGTCTGAAGCAGGAGTTGGTTCGGGGGGTCTGGAGGTGACCCGTGCTGGGCCTTCTTGTGATGCAGGGTGTAGGGGCTCGGGGGCCTCAGGGGGGTTTCCTGGCCTCTTCTTTCCTTTGCAAACCTTGGAAGGACGCAGTGGAAGGAAAGTGAGACAGCAGGGCAGGTGGGTGAGAGCCGGAGGCCCCACCAAGCCCCAGGATGCCTGCGCAGTGACAGCAACGTCTGCCTGCATCATCCCCTCTGCCGCTGCCCAACTGCCGGGCTGAGGGTTTGCACCCAGGAGGAGGAGGTTTCCAGAACTGCAATGACGGACTCGGCCGGCTCAAGCTGCGCCACGGCCTTTCTTTCCGGTTGCTCAAAGTAAGAACAATTGTGTCGGAGTAGCCGTTAGCCATATTCCAGAACAGGAGGCGAGAGGGACGCCTGAGCCGGGGACCAGACGAAACGTGCTTAGGAGGAGTCTGCACCCATGACCATGACCCAGGACCTGATGTTGCCCGGACAGGCTTCAGGTGCTCGGCTCCAACGTACCGTCTGCCGCCCGGCTGTGGAGTTGCTTATCCCTAGCCAAGTGCCTTGAAAGTGGACCCACGTGGGTGCTGGTGTTTGTTCACCATTTCTCTGCACGGCACGGGCCCCCCGCCCCTACGGGAGACCTACTTCCCATTCTTCCAAAGCCCACTGATGGCTGATAATATGACCCAAGGGTGCCCACACCTGACTACACAACAGAATCACCCGTGAAGGTTAACAAGGAATTCGAGGGCACTTGAAAAATCTTCCTGGGAAGTGGGATTAAAGGAAAAGTTTAGGGGCTAGTGCTATGGTGCAGTGGGTTAAAGCCCCAACCTACAGCGCCTGTATCCCATATGGGCACCAGTTTGAGTCCCGGCTGCTCCACTTCCAATCCAGCTCCCTGCTAATGTGGCAGGGAAAGCAGTGGAAGATGGCCCAAGTCCTTGGGCCCCTGCACCCACGTGGGAGACCCAGAGGAAGCTCCTGGCTCCTGGCTTCGGATTGGCCCAGCTCCAGCCATTGGGGCCATTTGAGGAATGAACCAGCGGTTGGAGGACCCCCGCCCCTGTCTTTCAAATAAATAAATAAATAAATAAATAAATAAAATAAATCTTTTTTTAAAAATGATGAGTTTATTTTAGTGCAAAAAAAAAAATTGAAATCCACGCCTGGTTCCCTCCCTGAACATTTTGAAGATCCTTTAGGCATGGCCTTCAAAAATATTTTCTGCGGCAAAATCAGCTTCCCTTTCCTTTTTTTAATAGATTTTTTTAAAGGTTTATTTATTTATTTGAAAGTCAGAGTTACACAGAGAGGGGAGAGGTAGAGAGAGAGGTCTTCCATCCGATGGTTCACTCCCCAGTTGGCTACAACGGCCGGAGCTGAGCCGATCTGAAGCCAGGAGCCTCTTCCAGGTCTCCCACATGGGTGCAGGGGCCCAAGGACTTGGACCATCTTCCTCTGCTTTCCCAGGCCGTAGCAGAGAGCTGGATCAGAAGTGGAGCAGCCAGCTCTCCAACTGGTGCCCATATGGGATGCTGGTGCTTCAGGCCAGGGCGTTAACCCGCTGCACCACAGCGCTGGCCCCAAGCTTCCCTTTCCATTCCGTTGTCCATGAATACGTCGGAGTCCCCTGGGGCGGATTTCTCAGCCAGTCCTGGAGGCACCAAGACAGCCTCCCTAGAGTCCATTTGTGGGACCCCTGCTTCGAAGTTGGCTGAGGAGGGGCCGCCCACTGTTCTCCCCCGGAAACAGGTGCAGGCCTCGCTGCGCTCCCCAGAGCACAGGTGAGGACCGCGCCTCCTGCGTGCCCAGGTGCACAGAGCCCAGCACAGGGACGTGCTCCTGAGCTCAGCCTGTCCAGCCGGTCACAGACAGAGGCTCAGCACGGTCTTCAGTGTGAGCCGAGGGGATCAGGGCTGGACCCGAGGCCCGGGAACCTGGGAGCCTCCTCCTCGCTACCACGCCACACAGCCTGAGAGCCAACAGACCCACACATACCAAGAAATTAAAACTCCGCTTCCCACCCAGAAACAGCTGTCCAAACTATGGCTGTGTTTATGTTTCGTTTTCAGAGGAGAGACTTGTTACAGAAAGTGGCAGAGCGTGGCTGTGAGAAGCAAGCAAGGGTGTCTCAGGCGCGTTGAAAGGAGAGGGGAGATGGTCCTACTGTGTGCTCAGGAGAAGGGCCTTGGTCCTACTGTGCGCTCAGAAGGGCCTTGGTCCTACTGTGTCTCAGGAAATGGGCCTTGGTCCTACTGTGTGCTCAGCCTCTCTGGGGAGAGGACAGACCACAGTCTCCTTCCCGGAAGAGCTGGGCCACAGCCTCCCCGGGCCGGCGGCCCACCTGTGAATGGGACCCAGATGAACCCAGCCCAGCTCTGCCCACAGCTACACCCCAAGAAGCAAACGAAGACTCTGCAGCCTCCTCCTTCTACCCAGCCTTCTCCTGAGGCTGGAGCGGCACTGGGAGAGACGAAAGGCGGATCAAGGTCTCTCTCTTTGCTTTCTAGAAGCAAATTATCTTGAGAGGCGAGAGAGACGTGAACAAAACATCCCAGGAATTGAGCGCTTTCAGCTGAGAGATCAAGGAAGACTTCCTGGAGGAAGAGGTGCCAAAGCGGAGCTGGGACGAGGAGACTACACACACCGAGGCAGGAGGGAGAGAGTGCTGGCGTGTTCAGAGATAGACATGTGGTGATGTGCCCGGCGCTGGGGCGTGACGGAGAAGGGGAGCGGAGAGGTGGACACCCGTTACCTAAGCGGCACAAGACGGTCCCTTCCCCCTTCTGAGCCAGGACTTTGTGAGCCGTTACTGTTTCTCACTCTCCCCTCCGCAGCTTGGGAAAAACTGTTGCCTGCACAGAAACTGAGGCGGATCAAGCGAGAGTTGCCCAGAACAAGTGGGGGCCTTTGCAGGCATCCCACACGCGCTGTGTGCCAACAGGCTGCAAACCCGAGACTGGGGCCGCCGGCACGCCCAGCCTTCCCAGTGACGTGGGCGTCCTCTGGTGTCCCGGCCCCACTCGGCTGCTCGTGAGCAGCGACCTTGCATTTTGCTTTGATACAAAAGGTTGCACACTAGAAAAAAAATTAATAAAGAAACCGCCGTGAAGGATGAGCGGGGGCAGGTGCCGGGCGTGTGGCTCAGTTCCCCAAGGATGCAGCCATGAACCTGGCCAGCTGGGCCCCAGCACCACGGGAGCTTGAGGATCGCAGCTCGGATTCGACAGGGGAGAGAGCTGATGCCGAGGTCCATAAAGCAGATGGCGCGGGACAGGACGGCGGGTGGAGGTGCAGAGCCCGCTGGGCGAGGCGGGCTTAGGGGTGAGCCCCACGTGATGCCCCTGAAGGGCAGGTCCTGGCACCGCGTCCTCTGCAGCCCTGGCCAAGGTGGGCGCAGGGGGCAGGCAGCAGCGAGGGGACACAGAGCCTGTATGCAAGAGGGTGGCTTTTCCCTGGAGTGCATCAGAGACTTGGAGCCCAAGTGAGCGCCACCACCCCTCTGCAGCTGCCACCGAAGTCCTTCTCCCAGTTCTCAAACCTCAGTCTCAACAGGGCCCAAGGCGTCACAGAGGGGACAGCCGCTGCTGGCCTGGGGACCCCTTCGACAACCCCTGCTGTGTTATCTTTGCCCCCGCCCCAGCCTGAAGGCAGGGGTGAGGTCACGCTCACCCTCGGCCCCAGCGCTTGGATGTTGGGGGTGGGGGGCTCAGCGCAGGTTACGGAGTGAGCGGATGAAGGTGTGAACCGCCAGCCGCCCCTAATAATGCGAAGCCGTCGTAACACAGCATAATCAGACAAATGGGACTAATAGAATGCACGTGTGCAAAAAGAGAGCACTTTCCAGAAGGGAGTCGCTGGGACCATGGCAGGGCCGGGCGGGTCCCGGGTCTGCAGTGAGTGGGCGAGTGGGGCCCCCAGGGCTGCCCACGGTGCTGGTCTGGTGCAGGTGCTGGCGGGCTCCGGGAAAAGCCGATGCTGCGGTTCCTGTCTGAGTCAGAGAAACTCGCTGTCCCTGTGTGGGGGCAGGCAGGCAGGAGGCCCGACTCTTCTGGGGGGACAGGGCCAGTGTTTTGCTCCCTCCGGCCTCCAGCCAGGAGATGAGTCCACTCCCACCCAGGGCGGTGCCATCTGCCTTGCTGAGGCTACAGATTTCAGTGCCCAGTGCCCACGCGTGCTCCCGGAACACCCCGAATCAGCTTGGACCACACACACACACACACACACACACGTATCTGGGCGCCCCGGGGCCCAGTCAGGTCGTCACGGACTGAAAGGAACCAGCAGTGCGCAGTCTGTGCGCGTTTGTTGCTGAAAGCACACACAAGGGCTGTGTCCGTCTCGGGTGGGGCTTGGGGGAGGGGGAGGCGCGTGCAGGGAGAGTAAGGAGTGAGCTGGCAATGCAAGGGGCCCTCATTTCTGG